CTTCGTTTTTACTTTTTTAATTTTGTCATGTAAAGGTTTGTTAGTGCGATTCTAAACGGTTTTATCCGAAGTGAATAAAAAATATTCAGTAATTCAATAAATAATAAATTAGTATAATCAATAGGTAAGGAAATGTAAAATAAATTGGAGATTAATAACTTGAAATATACATAGTATAAATAAATAAAATTTAATTCAATTGCTGTGGAGTCAGATTTCCCCGACATCACATTTTCCCGGACTAACAGGCGTGACGTCGGGCTAATCTAAGTTACTGCAGTCACATTTGTCAGATTCACCTGTTACACTGGTATAATTAAACAAATTTCTAGTTTATATTCAAATTAATTTTAACGCCTGTGATAGGTGACCTATATTTTGTTCGGAAATAATTCGGTAGAAATATATATTTAATTATAAAAGTATTTTAGTCGAAAAATAATTTATACGAAAATATAGCTGACGAAAATAAAATTCTAGAAAAATATTATACTGGAAAAGTTTTTTGTCCGAAAATAAATTTGTCGAAAAAAAATTGATTACAACCATATTTAGTTAGAAAATTAGATATATTAAATACAAATAGAGCGTTGAAACGGTAAGCGACATTATGGCTATAAATATATATTTGAGTAGTATGAATATGCTGGTTATGGCGCAGTCTCTTATTTCTCACTTTAAAAATTAATTTCTGATCTCTATTTACATTGTTTTTATTTCTTGTTCTTTGTTTACATGTATAAAATAAAAATAATATTAAAAAAATTAAATTTAAAAATTAATTTAAAAAATTAATTAAAAAATAATTAAAAATAAAAAAAACAAATGTAACATAAACATTGCACTGGGAACAGTTCTCTTTAACAAAAGTAAATGGTATAATATATTACACGTGAAATAGATTATTTCTTGAAAATAATTTATATTAAAATTATCATTCTTTTTTATTATTTGATTTTATTAAATTATCAAAGTATTCTCTGAAATTTTATCTTTCTATTTTTGTTGAATAATGTCCCCAAAATAAAGTTTTTATACCATTTTCTAGAATATTTCTATTATCATCATATGCACTAAAAACCTTTATTGTTTTGTTCAACAGTATATATTTCATGTTTATCTGTTCTAAAAATTTTCTGTTTTACATATTTTGGATTTTTATTTTTTAAACAATTATAAAATAATTAAAACAATTCATTTTTAACTATGGGTTTTTGCACACCTTTTGCTTTTTAATTTCATTTTTATTTTCAAATATTTTAAATGATATATTCATTTAGATCTTAACCCAACAAATTCAGTTATTATTTGACCATTGAGCTCATCATTAAATNTCATAATGTACATATATTTATTTATAATTATATAAAAATAATTAATACAATTTATTTTTAACTATGGGGTTTTTCAAACCTTTTGCTTTTTTAATTTAATTTTTATTTTCAAATACTTTAAACGATATATTCATTTAAATCTTAAACCAACAAATTCAGTTATTATTTGACCATTGAGCTCATTATTAAATTTACCTGGAACATTTTTAATCATTTGGGTTATTCCATATTTATTATTCTCAGGATAATCTGAAAAATCAAATTCATTTAAAAGTTAATTATTGTTTTTTATATCTGTATAAAAATCATCTGTTGTAATTTCTACTATTAAAAAATCTGTATCTGTGTATAATAATATGATATTTTTTTCAATACGTTAAAATAAAAATCATACATTTGAGTTTTAGATAAATCTAAAATACACATTCCTAAATAAATTGGTTGTTTTAATTCAACCATAGTTTTTTTTCATATGTACAGCTACTAAGTTTTCTGTAAAAATAGTTGCTCGATCAGAATTTGGTTTAGCAACCCATTTTTCTATTATTTTTTTATCATCGTTAATTAATTTTATATCTTTATGATTCCTTGTGTTAATCATAGTCCTACCAAATACACTGTTGTTCATTAACTTATAATAATCTTTTTCAAATTCATTATCTGTTTTTGCACGAAGATTTGTGTTAAATTCTATATATGGTTTTAACCAATCTTTTTGATGAAATTCTATTATCCTATGTATTTTCTCTAATTTTAAACCTAAACTTAAATAAAGAATAAGATTATTATAATGGAGAATATATTTTTTCTTATCATATAGAGTTGTTGTTAATTTTGCTAATTCTTTATTATCAAATACATTTTTGGGAGCGAACGGATAATCAGAATGAAGATCGTGAAGCTCTTCCGATATTTCAAATGTACTTCGAAAATATAGTCCTTTTCCTGTTCATTTTTCATTCTTAAAATGTTTTCTGGTAAATATTTACACATCGCCCATCTACAGAGATTATTTGCATCCAAATCTAAGAGATATTTCGTTGATGTTTTTTCTTTTCTTTTTCCTCAAACATATCTATTACTTGCTTTAGAATATCTAATACAATATTGAGATAATCCTCATTTTATTCCTTGTTGAAACATTAAATACAAATCGATATCTCCTATTAGTTCTATTTCTACACCTGTTTTTCTAAGCTTAGCATTCCACGCAAAACCTGGAGTTGTATAATAATGTACAGGATCATAATACATCTATTTAATTATAAAGTGTGGTAAAATCTCTCATAATTTTTTTTAATGAAATCAAAGTTCAATAGTTCCATTTGGATCATTTCTTTTATGTTCTTTTGATTGTAAATGTCTAGACCAATTTGAATATGTAATTTTACACATAATATACGTCTTTTTTAAAGCTGTTCTAACATTAATATTTTCTTCCATTTTATTATAGGTTATTTTTTTTTTTAACTAAGGTTCAATTTCTTTTTTTTTCAAATTCATAATAAATAAGACAATCTTATGTAAAATATACAGTTTAGTTATTGTCATGTGTTACATAATATTTCATATGAGATTTAACTCTAAAATATAAAATACCTCCAGGTTTATATAAAAATAAACAAATCTTAATTTGTAAATTATTTTTTTAAATTTTAATATTTTATTACAATTCCTTTTTATCTCACATCAAAATTTGGTTTTCTATAGTTTTCTATTATTTAAACTTCCTTTAATAATTTAATAAAACGTGGAGTTGTATAATAATGTACAGGATCCAACTTAAAATGTCTTATTGAAACATCTCTATAATTTTCCATTACATCTGTAAGTAATAATATATCTATTTAATTATAGAGTATGGTAAAATCTCTCATATTTTTTATTTCGAATCTTTCCCATATTTTTTTAGCATTTTCATATGCATTTTGTGTTACATGTTCACCTTTAAGTGAGCTGTACAATTTATCTATATTAGGTAGAGATTCTTCATCATATTTTTCTGGAGAATCCATATATTCATAAGGATATGATAATTTTCCTTTTACTAAATCCAATTGTTCAGGATAATGTTTAAATAGTTCTTTAAACTGGTATGGTTTTAAAGTTTCAGCTAGTTTTTCTAAAGAACTAGATAAGAACTTAAAAGAATCAAGAAATCGTATTTAAACTGTTTTAAAAATAGGTTTTCCTTTGTGATCTAAAACCGGGTATTCAGTAATTGGATCTATATGCATATATTGTATATTTTTTCATAATGATATACAATTTTCTTCCCTAATTGCAATTGTTTTTCTATTATCTTTATCAATACCTAATTCTTTTATGGATAAATGTGCGTCATTACCATATAGATTGTGGAAAAATACTGGAATAAATCTAGGAACTTAATAATTTAAGTTACATATAGAATGAGCAGCTCTTCGATATTTTCCTGTTAATTGATCGTGATTCCTAAGATTTTTCATATTATCTTCAAGATCTTCAAGATTCATAAATTCATCAAGTCGCTTTTTAAAAAATTAAATTTCTTTTTCTATATTTTCAATATTATCTAAATCTAATTTTCTTTTTCAATCTTATCCTCGAATATTAATCCTCCTTTTATTATATGATACCAATATGTCATAGCAAAGTAAAACTTCTCAGAGATAATTATAACCAGGCCAGTGTATTTCAGGCATACATTTACTATTCAAGAAATTATTAACAAGTCCAGATCCAGTAATCACTTTCTTTGGTAAACTTGAAATTAAAGAAATTAGATATTCTATACCATGGGGTGTATCAACTAATTTTTCCATTTCTTTACTTACAAAATTTAAAATACTTAATTTTTCATTATGGAAATTATTATGACCAGATCCTTCTTTTGCAGCAATAAAATATAATCTTTTTAACAATTCGTTTAAATTATCAATGTATTTATTTTGAATTGGGTTTTCTGTATAACTTATTAAACCAGATCCGAGTTTGTAATTTTTTATTTTCATTAATTTTATTCCAAATAGAACAGATCAGTTTCATGTATTTATCCCCTTTATTTGATTTTACTAGAAATCTTCTAGATGTTATTTTAAGATTATTTTCTCCTAAATATTTTACCAAATCTTTTGGTGGATTAGCATTACTATAAGAATCAAAATTAAATTTTTTGTTGTTTGTTAATAAAATGTGATGTTTTTGTTAACCGTTTTCACAGGAAATAAAAATGATTTAATGTCATCGTCAGTTTTTCTAACAGCCTCTTCAACATATTTTAATCCCTTGGTAATAGGTTCAAATGATTTTATTTTTCTATTTCATCATTTAGTTTTTTCTCTGCTTCATTTCTATATATTTTTCGCAATTTTTTCTCAATATTAATTGTTTTATTAATCTCTGCTTCTTTTGGTCCTTTTTTCTCTTCAAAATGTACTGTTTTCTGTATTTAATTCGATTTTTTTTTTTAATTCAATCCACTTTTAATTTTTATCTTAAGATTGTTTTGAATTTGTTCAAGTGTTGTCATTTATTATAGAAAAATACATTTTTTCAATAAATTTTTTATTAATTGACATTTGTAATTCAATATTGAATGACTAACTAAACTATTCGGTTTACGTTCATCAACAGAAACTATACCTTCATTAGAACTAACTGTTTCGATTTCATCTATATCATTAAATACTTCTTCTAATTTCTCATAAATCGGTTGATCAATGGTTTTTGTAAAAATATAAAGATTTTCAAAAGGAATCCAAAAATTTGTTATAATATTCTACAATAAATTTGTCTTTCCAGAACCTGAACTTCCTACAGTTAAACATCATAATGTTATAGGAAATATAGATTCTTCATTATCTTTTGTTTTCTTATGTGGTAATGATTCTATATTTTTATATTTATCTAACATTTCTCAAGTTTATTATGATCTTTTGACATATCTATTAAAGAAAATATTTATTTTTTTAAGAAAAAATTTTAAAGATAAAAATCTTTAAAATTATAATTTATTAAATTCATACATTTTCAACATATTTGTACCCATTAAGTTCAGCTTGTTTCAAATATTTTTCTCTAGGAAAAAATTGTATATTTTCTAAAAAATCTTTTTCTCTTTTATTTATCTCTTCTTCAGTGATTTTGCGAGCTTTAAACAACAACAATATTTGATTGTAAAATTTATAAACTATAAAACATTCTGATATTTTTTCGGTTTGATTAAATTTTTCAATAAGAGAATAAGAATTCCATTTACAAGAGATAGTGTTGCTAATATTGAATTATAAATAAATCCTAATGATCCAATTGTAGTTGAAAACAACTTTAAAGTAGGTATGCATAAACTAAGGTTATTATAGAAATTATAACTTTTGCGATATACATACATTCTCTTTTCTAAATATTTATTCATTATCTGTTTATTAAACTATGATAAGCAATAAATTCTGTACATTTATTTAATATATTCCATTCTAAGTCAAAAATATTAAATCGAATGTTTTAAAATTTTTTCTGATTTATAGGTATATAAGTTATAGTTGGTGGTTTTATGATCAAATTATCTTGTGGGTTATTAAAAGTAAATATTAGATGATTTACTTGCCGGATAAATTCTAATTTTTGAAAAATTATCAAACTTAATCCCTAGATTATCACAAAAGTTATTATCAAACATAAAATTATTTTCATCAATTTTAATTTCAATTAAATCATCAGAAATGTTTATGTTAATTTTTAAAATATTATTTAATTGTTCAATAGTATAGTTCGATCTATAAATATTAATAATTAAACCATTAACAAAATATATGTTTCCTCCTATGTTGCTTAAATATTTTTCATTATTTAAATTTGGTGTTTTTTCAGCAGTTTCAGAAAAAAATGTTTTTCCTGTTTCAATGTCATCTTGAGAAGGTCTTCTATAGACGAATAATGTTGAATATTTTTCTCCATTAGGTTTTGCAACATCGTTATCATTCACTTAATATTCAAAACCTAGACAATCAGATAAATATGAATCAAACCCAATATTAAATGGAGATGATATTTTAAATAATACGTTTTCTAGTGTAACTTTTGTGGTTTTATTTATACTTTGTTCTGGGTAACTATTATATATTTTTTCAAGAGATTTTAATGAATACAATCCAACTGTCCCACAAACATTATTATACATAATATTATAATTCCATTAGAAAAATCTTTCATTGTGAATATAGTTCAGAAATACGTTTTAAAGTGAGAAAAGAACAGGAAAGAAAATAATGTGAACAGAAATCAGAAATTAGTTTTTAAAGTGAACCAAGCACAGGAGATAACACAATGGGAATAAAGTTCAGAGATTAGTTTTAAAAGTGAGAAATAAGAGACTGTACCAGAACCGGCATATTCCTACTACTAGTACCAACTAAATTGATATGAATACAAACACTGATTTTAAAAATGAATTAATATAATTTTAGTTAAATTAATATATTAAAAAGTAAAATAATAATTTATATTACAGACTGTAATGTTTTAAAAGTCATATGCTTATGAATAAAATAAATAAATAAATATAATCCTTCATATAACAAAGTAATAAAAACAATGAAAAAAGACGTTCTAGGATAATGGGGACTGGTGCAGCCACTGTTATAGGTAATATAATGTATACCTGTAAGCAATGATAAACCATTGCTTACGAAAAACGATTCTGAGCGGAGTTCTGTTGATAGTGATACTTTGTCAATAATATACATACATACCATATTGTAGTAAAATAATTAAATGGGCCTAATATATTTTCTTTAATAATATTTATTTAATATTCTACCGATTTTCGGTTTCCTTACGTTTTCCCAGTTTACCCATGTATTTTGAAATTTGATGAGAATACTGTTGAGAAAATCGAAAAATTACATATTTCAATTATCTCCCCACATCGATTACCTTACAGAAAAGGTGCTACACACAAAAACCGAATCAAAAAATCTGGTAGTAAGGTTCGCTTCACTCAGAATCTAAAAAAAAAGGAGTGTTAAATTTTGGAATGAAAAGCTCACAACTACTATTGGGAGGTTTTAATTAAATACGTTATTTCGTGATCAAATCGATATAGCATTTAAAAATTTCGAATTTAATACGGATATCTGCTAGAACATTTTGATGTTTTGTTGATTTTCTTTTTATTACAAAATTTTATTAGGGTAATTGAATGCAGAGTTTATTATTTTTCTTAGTAAAGGAAATAGTTATTTTATTCTCTTGAATTAATCCTTATCATATTATAATATGTCATATGTTGTTTATGTATTCATATAAAATTTAATTTTTTTTTCTCTTAGGTTGTCAATATCCAAACTCTCAACTTGTGAACAAATTATAATACAATTGTCAAACATCTATCACAAATTTCTTGAGGAAGAGGTAAACTATTTTACTCCACATTAAAAATGTACTGTTAATTTAGCATTATTCATTGTTTAAGTATGCTTTGAACTATGTCGAACATATTTAATTTAATATAGATTTACTGGGTTTAACGTGATATACAAATTTGTGTATATTAGTGATGCTCATATCATCAAAATCGATTTTATATTAATAGAGTTATTTTTAAAATATTTTCAATTTTTATTTTAAATAATCCTCAATATTTATCATACTAAACAAAATCACATTTTTTTTTTCCAGTGCAAATTGGATGCCAAGAATATTAATCAATTGAATAAATGTGAAAACAAAAGTAAGTACATGCTAAATTTAATATACTATTCATCTCATATTTAATATAAAATACTTGTAATATTTTTTGTTTTAGGAGTTACAGATGATAAATCCGTCTCAAATACATTATCGCTACACCATCAACCACAATTTATTATTCGTTCAGTATTAGGTAAATCATCTACTGTCCCTGATAAATTAAATACTGATATAAATGCATTTCATTAAATTGGTTCTTCATATGATCCTAAACAAAAGTTAATCACTCCTTTAAAAACAGGCATTTCGATTGATCATACGAATTCAAAAGTGAATCGTTCTTCATTGCTCATGGAATCTATAAGATCAGTTGTTCCATCAAAAAATACAAATACTGATGATAAACAATTTCAACAACCTGATGATGGATCTCAACATGGCTCATTGTCTGTTTATAATGGACAAACTAATTCCCAAATTTCATCAAGCTTTACTAATAAACAGCCGTTTGATAATGTAAATCCTACAGAACAAATCAACACATCAACTCAATCTCAATTTAAAAATTATAGACCGTCAACATTGAATCACTATAAACCATATCTTAATGATTTTACCTCTACCCATGGTCAACATTCTATTCCTAACCTATTGCATATTAATACAATGACTCACATTGAACCTAACCTGAGTAATTACCAATCATTAAAAAATACATATAAATGCAACAATGATTTAAATGTGACAAGGGATCCAAGACTAATGAAAACAAAAAGACAAATACAAGAACCTCAGTATCAAAACTATAAAGATTATAGAGAAGCCAAATATGGCAAAGGAAAATATTCCAACTACAGCGAT